AATGGGTCCAGCTTTCCTGAGGCTCCCACAGCCTCTGAGCCTCCAGCACTGGACGAGCATCGCTGGCCCCAAGCTACAGCTGGACTCGATGATCTTAACTGCCTTTTCCAACCTAAATGATTCTAAGCTGCTGCTGTTCCCTGGCCACGCCAGCCTCAAAAGCCTCTGGCGTTTCCCCAGCACCGATCTCCTGCCCCAGATGAGCCATCCCTGAGCTCAGCTGTCCCTGAGCATCACCCCACACCGCCACAGCCAAAACCGGGTTCTTTATAGAAAATACTGGGGTGCTTGCGCAGCCAGAGCACTGTTGCAGCCAGCGAACAGCCCTGCAGTGGCTCGGCCCCACCAATGCCAGTGGCTTTGGGTGCAGGGAGGAGAGCTGGGGCCACCCATTGGGGCTGCAGCCAGGCGCACCGGTTGCAGCAGGGTGCAGGCAGCCTGGGCTGCACAGGCAGAGTGGCTTGGAGGTGGCCATGCCTGCAAGGGCAAGGACCTGGGCCAGCACCGCAGCCCGGGGACATGGGGCAGTGGCAAACCCCAGAGAGAGCTGACAAGGTAAAGCCACTGGTGGCAAATCAGCCGCAGGGTACCAGCTGCACATGGCTACAAGCTGAAAAACAGAGGGTAGGTTGTTGTGTGATGTGTGCCGGAGGGCTGGCGGCTCCGTGGGCTGCTGCGGACCGTGCTCCCAGACCTTGCTCCGGTGCAGGAGCTCGTGGTGTGAGAGCCACAGGGCTGGTCTTCAGCATGGGACGAGAGCCAAGTGACGGAAACCTCTATTTTATTTCTGTTTTCTTTAGCAGCACAGCCTTGCCAACAGCCGGCAGAGCCCGCGCTGCTCTGCGACACCGCATTGGTGCCCTGCCCTGCAGCGGACCTGGTGCTCGTGGTGGTAACTCGTGGGGATGCAGGGTCAGGTGGGGACGCAGGGTCACGTGGAAACGTGCCAAAAGCCACGGGTGAGGAGCCTGCCTAGGACAGGGGTCTCTCCCAGAGCTCGGGCATCCAGCCACCATGCTGAGCTGCAGGGTGAGAACAGTACCCAGGCAAACACCCAGCCACGGAGATGCTGGAGCCAGTTTCCCAGCAGATGAGCTCTGGGATCGGGCAGGTCTGCTCCCCGGGGTGCAAGGGGGACAACGGAGGGGAAGCCCATGGGACACCACCAGCCTCCCACAGCACCGTGGCTCCTGCCCAGGGCAGTGGCTGCCCTGCCAAAGTGGAGACACGGCACATGGGGAGCCCGGGGGGAACCCGCCCCAGCTGCACCCTCACACTGGGGCTGCCGTGAGCAGCGGGGCTGATCCTGGGAAACGCGTGGGACACGGCGAGGAGCCAGGCAGGACTGCCGGGGTGGTGGGGACCAGGAGGGGGCTGGTGCTGAGCGGGGGATTCATCCCCCACGCTGCTCACGGGCCTCGGGGCGGTGTGGGGGGTGTGCTGCCTTCAACACTCACCATCGCCGGTGACCTGCCTGGCTGCAATGGCCGGGAAGGGCACAGTGGGGCAGATGGGTCTCAGGTCCCGCTTGGCCTCCTCCATCTCCTCACCGTGCGCAGGGATGCAGAGCCCACGCTTCACGCTGCCGTCCCGTCTGACGGTCACACCGGGGGCCAGCCGAGCGGAGTCCAGCAAGGAGCTGAGCTGCCGGGGCATGGGGCTGGGGAGCTGTGGGGATGCCAGGGGGGGTGGCTGGAGCTGTCCTCTCCCTGCGGTGGCCAGCCCCCGGGGCAGCCGCCAGCTGCCCAGCTCCGGTCCCCGGCTGCGCCTGCCGGCACCCTGGGGACGTGCCGGCGGCTTGGTCTCCGCGCCCGGGTCCAGCACCTCCACCTGGGGCCTGATCCAGCGCTCAGGCCGGCTGCTGGGATCCCGCCTGGGGACCCCCAGGACGGTGCCAGACCCCTCTCGCTTCGCTCCCATGCTGCGCAGGGGCCTCCCTGACCGGATTGATACCAGGGTGGTGCAGGAGGGAGGCGTCAGCGGTGGCACGCGGCTGCTGACCACCGCTGCACCACTCCCCTCCACGTCCCCGTGGGAGGTCCGTGGTGGACACCGTCCCTGCTCTGGCTGCCCCAGGGGCTCTGCCGGGCTTGGGGGCGGGCAGAGGGCTGGTGGCCTGGCTGGGCACAGCGGGGCTGGCCAGGTGCAGGGAGGTTTTCCGTCAGGGAGATGGGGAGCGATGGCTGCCTTGTCCAGCAGCAGCTCCGGGCAGGACGGCCCTGGCATGGGCAGGACGGTGCTGGTGCTGGTGACCTGGCTGGGACACAGGGTCTGCGTGGGGGGAGCTCTGGCCTCATCTGCAGTGGGGGGGTCCTGCCTTCCATGCTGGCATGGAGCCCGCACGCTGGAGACCTGCCCAGGAGGGAGCAAAGGGAGACCTGGTGTGGGCTGGGGGCATTGAGGTGCCCGATGGAGGTGACCTGGTGAAAGTGGCACTGACCCCCCAGCCAGCACTGGCAGACGGTGCAGCCCCGACCCCCTCGGTGCACGGGAGCTGTGTGGGTGCTGCTCCTCACCCATGGGAGCTGACAGCTCAGCCATCGGCATCACGGTGCAAGGAACCGTCCCGGCAACAACCAAACACCTCCCAGGGCAGCCCCAGCGAACAAGCCAGAGCTCCCCCTTCCCCCCTGCCCATGCATGCCCACCTCAGCACGGACCCCCCCCGGCTCCTCGGGGGGTGCTTAGGGAGGCTGTGTCTTGGCAGGGGCTCTGCAACACCACCCGGAGGACCCCCCTGCCAGGACCAGGGGCTCAGCGGCTGTCCCACAGGCCCAGAGCAGCCCAGGCTCGGCCCTTCCCCATGGGGCTTGCTCGGGACCACAGGGGTGTTTGGGGCACATCTCACCTCTCCCTCACCAGGGGACAGATGGATGCACAGGACAGGAACGGAGCCCTGCGCCCAGGAGTCCATGGCGCAGGGCTCGGGCTCCTCGTCCTCCTGCCAGGTGCCATCTCCTTCGGGGTCCGTCTCCCCCTCATCCCGCGCCAGGAAGCGCCACTGGACTATCTGCAGGAGGGCATCCCGTGCCTGGCCCACGGTGAAGGCCACAGTCTGCAGGCAGAGGCAGGGATGAGCCTCCCTGCTCTGGCCTGCTCGGCACCCTGCGCCCTCGGGCACCATCCCATGCCACGGAGCGGAGGCTGCGGGGAACCCACACTTGTCCTGAGTGCCCGGGATCCCCCCAAAAGCAGGGTCTCGGCACGCTCACCTGCCGAGCCACATCGGCTTTGGTGCACTCGTCCATCACGCGGCCCAAGAGCTCTGCAAGGATGTCCCCAGCATCCCTGTCCCCCTGTTCAGCCTCGAGCAGGGAAAGCCATTCCGCCTCAGGCAGGCGCCCGGGGACGACGTCGGCTCGGGCAGTGGCGATGGTGGGCAGCCGGGACTTCTCCCCACGTGTCTTGGAGGTGGCCACCCGCTCCCGGGGGGTCATTTTCTGCAGGGAGACACAACAGCCCTTGCAGCTCCCATGTCTCCGCATGGTGCCAGGGGGGCAAGAGGAGCCCCCCGGTCGGGACACCCGCAGCCCGGGGCAGGACAATGGCAGAACGGCCCCAGGGCCATGCGTTCCTGGCCATGGATACGGCCCCTCCTCAGCTTGAAAGGGACCAGAGACAAGGCCCCCCCTCGCACATGGCCTGGGGGTCTCTGCTTCCCCAGGCCCTCGGCAGCGACACCGGGGTATGAGGGGAGCACGGGCAGCCTCCATGCCCTGTCCCAGGGCAGGGGGGTGTGTCTCTGACATGGCATCCCGGTGCCCTCCCTGGCACCCCCCATGTACCTCAGCTCGTCCCAGCACACCCCAAGATACCCCAGCACATCCCAGTACACCTCAGCTCATCCCAGTACAGCCCAGTACACCCCAGCTCATCCCAGCACACCCC